TGCCGACATAGTCATATTTGCTAGAGGCAAGTTTAGTGATATCCTGTGTGATATAGTCCAAAGAGGACTAGAACATACCAATAGATAGTGCCGTGAAGTGGGACTTAGTATAAACCCTATAAAAACAACACTTGTAGCCTTTAAAAGGATAAGGAAACTTAATCTCAAAACCGTTAAATTAGACAGGATAGATATAGAATGGAAAAATGAAGTCAAATATTTAGGTCTAACCCTAGACAATAAACTTCTCTGGAATACACATGAGAAGGAAGAAGTAAATAAGGCCACAAAAGCCCTAATGGTATGCAAAAACATTGAAGGCAAACGATGGGGATGTAACCCAAACATACTGCGATGGATTTATACTGCAATAGTGAGACCAATCATCACTTACGGGCCTATAGCCTGAAGAAACAAATCTAGTTTAGCTACTACGAGAGCTAATATCTCAAAAGTACAAAGACTAGCCTGTGTTTGCATTACTGGTGTAATGAGAACCTGTCCTATGGCCGCAATGGAGGTGATCTTAAACGTCACCCCTCTACATTTGATGATAGACAATGTGGCAAAAAGGACACGATATTGAATGATCAGAAAAGAAGTAATCAGACGAAAGTCTACTTGCTTCAGGACTAAAGTTATCTTAAACGTCACCCCTCTACATTTGATGATAGACAATGTGGCAAAAAGGACACGATATTGAATGATCAGAAACGAAGTAATCAGACGAAAGTCTACTTGCTTCAGGACTAAAGTTATCTGGAACATGCCCCAGGATGAAATGCTAAAGAAGTACAGTTTTGTGAAAAACTTCAAAACCACAGAGCTGGGCTGCAAGAAAGAATGGAGCCAAGAATCCATCGCGGTTGCAACCGAAAGACGTGCTATTCAGTGGTATACGGACGGTTTCAAAACCATATAGAAAACTGGAATGGGAGTATATGGGCCGTTAACCAAGCACTCCAAAAGCTTGGGAAAATACCCAAGCATCTTCCAGGCGGAAATTTACGCCATCGAGAAGTGTATCCAGTTCAATATCGAGAGAAACTATCATAGACAAGAGATTATCATCATATCCGATAGTCAAGCAGCCATCAAAGCGCTGAGCTCTTACGTAATCAGCTCAAAAATGGTCTGGAGATGCCTAGAACAATTAAATGAGCTAGGCGAGAAAAATAGAGTTACTCTCACTTGGGTCCCGGGATATAACGCGGTACAGGGATTGCAGATAGTCTTGCAAGGAAAGGGGCTCAAACACCCTTTATAGGACCTGAGCCGTTCTGCGGTATTAGCAGTAACATAATATTAGGAGAGATTATAGAAAAATTGGACAGTAGAAGAACCGATAATTGGAACAATCTTTTGAGGCTGAGACAGGCCAGGATACTTCTGGGTGAATATAACCAGAAAAGATCGGAAGCCTGCATCTGCCTGAGCAAGAACAAGCTACGTATTGTAACAGAGATCCTTACAGGGAATTGCCGAATAAAAGGACACCTAAGTAAACTAAGAGTAGTAGAGGATATTAAGTGTAGATTCTGTGACCTCCATTCACATCCTAACTGAATGTATAGCTCTCCAGAATCCAAGGGCACTATATCTAGGAGGATATCAAATAGAAGAGGGAGTTTTACCTAACTTGAAGCCATTTCAAATCCTACACTTCCTTGAGAAAATAGGATTGAAAGGGTCGTTATAGGCATTGAGACTTTTCCGTGGTGCATTGGCGACGGAAGGGGGCACAATATATCTTTTAGATCGCAGTGTATTAACACCCCATTCCCAACATAACATAACATAAATATATCGATGAAATGACTCTAAATGATGTGTGGTACGTTCCAGAAGTTCCTAAGAACTAATTCTCGGTGTTGTTATTATATAGAGTTTCAATTTATTTGAATTATAGCTGGTTAATTTATAAATTTGATTTGTAAATATTTGTTTATAAGGTTTTCATACGGCAAATAATAATAATAGCCGTCCCTTTCCCCGAACAAGCTCAGCTTTTGGGGTTAAAATTCACTCGTAAGGGGGTGAATTAGGGAGAGTATTATTATTATTATTATAAGGTAGAGAACCAGAAGTTAATGCTAAAGTTTATGCAGCAGTTCCCAATAGCCAGTTATTAAAGTTGTTCTATGATAGATGGGGACACCAACACAAACGCCATGGTAAAATGATACTTGAAAAAGGATTTGGCATAAAATTAAAGCAAACTACTGAATTGTGTGAGCCATGTGTGTCGGAAAAGTTTATCGTCATCTTTTTAGCACTATAAAAGCATTTATAAAACCTGGGAATTAATATTTTTTCATGTATGTGGTCCTTTCGAAGAGTCTTTCCAGAAAAGCCAGTATGTAGTTATATTTAAAGCTAGCTTCACTAAATTCCGATATAGCTACTTCATGAAACTTGAGTCAGAAGGCAAGGATGCCTTTACCCATATGATTGCACATGCTAAGACATTAGTGCAAAAGATTCAAGAATTTTTATGCGATAACAATGGCGAGTTTGATAATGAACATGTTGGACAGATTCTGTCCAAAAATGGCGGCACCTTAAATTTCAGAACATAATCTTGAAGTATGCGAACGAAGTCAAATTTCCGAATGGCATTAGGGCTAAATTAGTAAATACTGCCATCTATATTTTATATCGCACAGCCAAGTCGACAGTTAAAGAAGTAAATTCACATGAATTATGGATAGGGTACAAGTCAAGAATAAAGTATCTAAGGATTATCGGCTCAAGTTGCTACGTCCATATTTCAAGTCAAACAAGAAATAAAATGGATATTAAAGCTACCAAGGAAAATCTTTTAGGGTATGATGGAGATACAAGATAGAGAATTTGGTTAAAAGAAATTTAAAAGGTTGCTCTATCTCAAGACGTACAATTTAAACAGAATCCAGAAGAATGTACAAAATCTAGACTTAATCTGAGAGACAGAACAATATTAAGATGACCTATTTATTTTTGGAGAGCAAGTCTTTATTATAGAAGTTATCCATATCAAAGGACAGCGCAGTTAAAAGACAAAAACTGATAAAAAAAAAACTACCAAAACGACATATTAAACTCGGAAAAGCTGTAGACAGAAACAAACGAGTAAAAATATGGTAATCACATTCGTTGATTACAGAAAAACCACTGGTTATCTAAACTCGATAAGCACCAAGTTTTACTGTTATAAACGACAATAAAACAATTCATTTAAAGTGATTATACGAGGTGAACGAAATCACATAAGGACAAATCAACAAAGAACTACTCCTAATTAAAGTTTAGGAGATGACATAAACAAGAAACAAAACAAAATTCCTGCAATTTCTTGTAGACATTGACCCACCCAAAGACCTAAAATTATTTAACAGATGTCCAGAACTAGTCGTTCGAATAGAGCCACTAAGAGCAGCAAGAATACCAAATCAAGATAGCATTTACAAACTAATGTCAGTTTTTAAAAACCTCATAAAAGAACTGATCGAACAATTCAGGTGATTATGTAGTAACAACTCTTTTTTCCTAGTTCTGGTAGCTTGGCTCGTCCCTATATGATGTGGACAAGCTGAACTCACATTAAACGGTAGCTTCTTCAGAATATACGCAGAAACGTAAATGACACACACGACGACAACAACAGATTTATGGCTTCACTGCAAATCTGCTAAATAACGACTATATGCCAACTTTTACGCCCATTCAGAAGTATGGCTTATAAATCTAATAAACTTGATTTGACGACGCTGCACCGGATGAAACTCAAGAGGGATAATGGGGAGGTTCTAATTCAGCATACTGAATGAGAATTTACTCAACTCTGACATCAGTAAACTTTGTGAAAAAAATTGTAATTAGATCATTGTATTATTATTACAAAAAAGGTTATTGGTTTTTTAATTTTAAAAATGATCTCTAGTTACTTTGATCTAGTAACGTTTGACTAACATTTTCGAAATTTGACATTTGTATCACTGTTCATAGAAGATTTTTAAATTTTTTTTCCGTTAATCAGTTGTTGGTAATTTTATATATCAAAAGTTAAAAAAAATAGAAATACGAACTTTTTATTTGCCCAAAACAAATATAAGTTTGATACAGTTATTTTAACAATGATTACCATGCAGATAATCTAACTAATGTCCCGGAAGGAAATTGGGAATGCAAACGTTAGTTAGTTCGAACAAGGAAACTCAGAACCAGACCTAGAATTTCCCCTCTCGAATACCAACACACTAAGATTACAAATAACAATGATCTCGAGGAATTTTCTCGAATTCGGTCTTAGATAATAACAGTAGGCCGTTTAAACTCTTCAAAGCATTTGGTTGGCTATGTTTAAGTTAACGAAATTGTAGATTAAATTACTCAGATTGCTATAGTAGCATAATTGGAGGGCGTGTTAAAGACCCAATGCTTGTAATTTAGGAATTTCGTTAAAATTTTTCTGAGTATACCGTGTACGCCAAACGTAACGTAAAATGTATCCATAAACTAAATAAAATCATGATCTTTTATAAACTTTATTAATTTTTGGACAAACCGCCGCAACTAGCTTCATACAAGGTGGCCCAGTAAAAACGTTATATCTGAAATATTTTCATTAGAGGAATTTTATTCAAAAAACTTCGAGACTGGTCGATTTTTCTTTCTTTTAATCGTTAATTCATAGAGGTCACCTCCTGAACGGGTCAGACAACACTTTCAAGAATACAAAATAGTGTAAGTGGTACATTATTTAAAAAATATGTCTATGCTCTATGCAAAACTATTTTTTTCTGTGTTAAAATTAAATGTAGAAAACCTGTTGAAAGTGTGAACTATAAGAAGAATACATTTTTCAAAAAACTTTTAATTAACTACGTGTTCAAATTACAAGTATATTTCCATTCAGTAATAAAATCATTGTTTAATCTTCGAAGCGTCAGTCAAATAAATCAAAACTCTTTGAATTCGGGTCACCCTATATACGTTTTTACTCTTAATGTGAATTTTACCTAATAAATAATCCACTTGATTAGGGTCTATCTGATCCAGTTGTCCCTTGTTCCAAACGTATTGCGCCTTCATTGATCGTTTTTTCTTGTCCCTTACCCAATCGTCTATGAGATTTCGCCCGTCTAATCTTCTGCCCTCTTCCTTGGTTAATTCGGGGTCGTGGGCCACTTTGGGCAGCCAGTGGCGTCGACCTCCACCCAGCAATACCTGAAACAAAATATATTTTTTAGAGTAGATATCATTGATAAAATAAGTTAGATAATTTTTTTAAATACTGTCAGCAAGATGTAGTTGACAGTCATAGGATTAGATCGGAATAGTCATAAAAACGATGCATGAACGAAGCCTTATTTTGTTTTATGTAAAGCTTTATCCATACTCTCTACTCTGATATCCAAGTAGCTCTAAAAGCAATTCTCTTATCAGAAATCAAATCGCGATTGGTGAAAGACTACCTAGAAGATATGGCAGAGCTAAGTAGTCAAAACAAGGTGACACTAATCTGGGTGTAAGGCCACGAACGATATCATGGTATCGAAAAGGCCGAGTTAAGACCATGACAGGCCTCGAACCCTTCTGCGGAGTTACTAAGTCATTGTGCAAGGAATCTATCAAACAATGAATACAAAAAGAGTCACTCTGAAGAATGCTGGAACTACTAGCCAAGACAGAGACAGGCCAAACAGTTCATCAAGGAATCATCGGCTAAGTTCACAAAAGACCTACTTAATCAAAAACGTCAAACCGTTAGGAAGGTCTTCTTACCGGACACTGCATTAGGCAAAGAAAGGCCAAACGTATGGAACTACATACGGGAGCCACTGTACTCTAAAAAAACGGAGTTCCACAATGGATTGGAAAGGTCGCAGTGAACAAAGACAAATAATATCTAACTCCTTTTAAATCTAATTAAGTCTACCCTACATAAAAAATGTCTATGCCCTTGATGGGATATTTAAAAGAAACGTTTGACAACCTCGTAATAAATGAAAAGCGGGAATACTTCTTGGTTGTATCTGTGCTGACGGGACATGGATTCCTCCCCTAATTATTTTTAAAGGAATTCGCTGGAATGATAATTTTAAATCAGACTGTCTTCCTGGTATACTAGTTAAACTGTCTCCTAAGGGTTGGATCAACACTGATTTATTTCTGGAGTGGTTCCAATTCTTTATTAAATCAATGCTTTCAGCTCGTCCTGTTATCCTTCTGATGGATTCTCATGCCTCTCATATAAATTCCACAGTAATTTCTCTAGCTAAAGAGAATGACATTTATTTATTCACTTTTCCGGCGCACACATCTCATTTGCTTCAACCCCTAGATGTGGGCATGAATACATCTCTTAAGGCCAATTGGTATAAAAGTTTAAACGATTTTATGAGAGAACATCCCACAGAAAAACCCAACAGGCAAAATTTTCACTCTGTTAAATCCAGCATTTATCGCAAGTTTTTATCGTTCCAATATCACAAATGCTTTTCGAAAAACTGTGGCGTGTCCATTTGACAAAGACGCTATTCCCATAGAGGTTGTTGTTCCGTCTCTACTTACCAATAAAGCAACTCCTTAAGGACCAGTTGTTGCAGATGAAACTGAGCCAGCTACTGCAACTAATCAGAAGCAGTTATTGTCTCTACCAGTAGCACCCAGTGCATCCGATGTTCCTGCCAAAGCAACCCAAAGGAAACGGGATTCGAAAGCTAAAAGGTTTGATAATGATTTATATGATTTACAGCATTTAACTGTAGGAGAATTTATATGATAATTAGTTGTACTTGAACTTAAATAAAATAATATTTAATTTCTAGTGTTGTGGGCTAAAACATTAAATAAATTCATGTTTATGATTGGAGTAGCGTCAATCAAATTATTATAGATTTTGTAAATAAATTTTACATCATACATTTGTTTAGTGATATTAATCGTCAATTTTGCCTAATAAGGGATCGATTATTAGCCTGATGCGAATAGAATTGTTTATTAAGATATTTAATAAATTTCTCTTGCATACTTTCAAGTGTATTTATGTAAATGTTATAAGTACTGAGGATTCCAAATAACAGATCCAAAACTTAACACGCTGTTAATGTAAGACATAGAAAGTGTATTCTATTTTTTTTTTTTTTGAAATCTTTAGACGTTCGTATAATAAAACCAAGTGCCTTATATGTGCTTTATAATGAAGTCTCTAAAAAAAGTGATGAAATGACATTTGTTGAGATTGAGATACAAGCAATAACGAGTGCAAGAGAAAAATACATTGTCAAGATCATTTTGAAAGTGAAAAGAATCCAAATTCGTAGCAACACAATACATTTCGGAAAATTAAAACAATCGGCAATATCATTAATGTAAATATTAAAAAGCAACAGTCCCAGATGAGATCCCTACGGCACGCCAGATGTAATAATAGAAAATGCATATCTAAAGTGTTTAATACAGTGCTAAATAATAAACGAATGAAAATACATGTTAAGTATAAATTTATAATTGTCAATGTCCCAGGTCATATTCGTTTTTACACTTAAGATTGGAGGGTTATATCGATCCATGCCAATTTCAACAGCTTGAGCAAACTACCATGAATATCAACCTCAGCAAGTTTATGAAGCAAAATATTAGTTCAATTTCGGGATTCGAAAGCTAAAAGGTTTGATAATGATTTATATTATTTACAGCATTTAACTGTAGGAGAATTTATATGATAATTAGTTGTACTTGAACTTAAATAAAATAATATTTAATTTCTAGTGTTGTGGGCTGAAACATTAAATAAATTCATGTTTATGATTGGAGTAGCGTCAATCAAATTATTATAGATTTTGTAAATAAATTTTACATCATACATTTGTTTAGTGATATTAATCGTCAATTTTGCCTAATAAGGGATCGATTATTAGCCTGATGCGAATAGAATTTTTTATTAAGATATTTAATAAATTTCTCTTGCATACTTTCAAGTGTATTTATGTAAATGTTATAAGTACTGAAGATTCCAAATAACACATCCAAAACTTAACACGCTGTTAATGTAAGACATAGAAAGTGTATTCTATTTTTTTTTTCTAAATCTTTAGACGTTCGTAAGTATAATAAAACCAAGTGCCTTATATGGCTTTATAATGAAGTCTCTAAAAAAAGTGATGAAATGACATTTGTTGAGATTGAGATACAAGCAATAACGAGTGCAAGAGAAGAATACATTGTCAAGATCATTTTGAAAGTGAAAAGAATCCAAATTCGTAGCAACACAATACATTTCGGAAAATTAAAACAATCGGCAATATCATTAATGTAAATATTAAAAAGCAACAGTCCCAGATGAGATCCCTACGGCACGCCAGATGTAATAATAGAAAATGCATATCTAAAGTGTTTAATACAGTGCTAAATAATAAACGAATGAAAATACATGTTAAGTATAAATTTATAATTGTCAATGTCCCAGGTCATATTCGTTTTTACACTTAAGATTGGAGGGTTATATCGATCCATGCCAATTTTAACAGCTTGAGCAAACTACTATGAATATCAACCTTAGCAAGTTTATGAAGCAAAATATTAGTTCAATTTTATCAAACGCTTTACGGAAGTCGGTATAAATGGTATCTATTTGCAGTAAAGTTATTTTTTATGGACCGCTTTTACATAAATCCGTGTTGTTCGATATTAATAACATTTTTAAGATCAAAATCTAAGTAGTCACATAAGATAGATTTAAACAATTTTGCAATAATGCACAATTTAGAGATAAGATGGTAATTTACCGCTAGGTATTTGTTACAAGATTTTAGAATAGGAGCACTTAATGCTGTTTTCCAAGTTGCGCTATTTCTTAAAAGGTTGATACTAATAGAAAAATTGAAAATTGAACAAAAATTAAATAATATTTTAAACAGAAATAAAGGGGAAAGTTAATAATATTTTGACTTACCATGACTAAGCCATTACGGATAAGCTACGTAATTTTATCATATAATATATAATAAAAATAATTTCCGAGAAATTATGTTATATTTCAAGGGTTAAAAAACCTAAACTGAACTAGAATTACCTATGTAGTATTGAAGAAACCAAATAACATTTAAATATATATTAAACGATAAAAAACAATTGACGAACAAACATTTGTATCTCAAAGACAGTGGTACAGAAACAACGAGAGACCATTTCCCTTTCGAAAACAACTACTTCCTTGGCTTATACTGCAACAGGCATTGCATTATACCAATAGGTGAATAGCAGGGATAAAAAATATTTTTCAACACTCTTACTTTGATTTTCCTTCCTGAGGAGAAAGTCACACATGAACCGGTTTTGTCCTAATAAGAACTTATCAGCAAGCATTAGACGATCTCGACTTTAGTCTCTAAGAAGACAGTCTTTTGCCTGATGTCAAAACTGAAGTCGAGATAGTCTAATGCTTGCCGATGAGTCCTAATAAGGATCAAACCGGTCCAAGTATGACTCTCTCTTTAGAAACTAAAATCAAAGTTATATTTATCATTATATAGTTTAATTATTCGATGTTATAATTCGTTAAGTCCAAACCATATAATTTAATGGGAAGTTCCTTACTAGTCAAAAGCCATAAGTTGTGATATATAATTTTAGTCGTTATTAAAAATATTGGACATATTATCAAACAGTGCCTTATTCCCTAAATTTAAATTGATTCTTTGTTCTTGAGACTATAAGTCATTTTGTAAATATTTTAAATATACATATGTTACCTACTGTTTATTCACTTATTATTGTTCTCTTTCCAAAATCTTTCTACCCCTAAGGACTAGCAGAGTCTTTAAACAGTAACCAGTCCCTATTAAGGGATTATTTTGTTAATTATTTTATTATAGATGTTAATTCCGGACTCCAGGACTCTTTGGCTGGTGACAGTGATTCCTTCGTCCCTTATTAGTATATTAATAACAGTAGTAAAAGATCTATAAGTTGTTACATGATTGTAGATCTTTAGACTAGTTGGTTGTTACATTTGGTGACAGCGATAGTCCTTTACACAAGTTGGTTGTTACATTTTCTTAGCCTTACTCCGAAAATACAATTAAAAATTGTTAATCAGAAATAATCTATTAAATAATGACGAGAAAACAATTTTATTTTTTTATTTTTTAATACTACATCAACCTCTAAGGGTAATTAGTAGTTACTTTGTTCATAACATGCACTACGTTTTATGTATATGT